TGCGGGCGGGCAGGCGGGGGGCGACTGCTCTAGGCTCTGGGACTAGGGGTGCTTATGCCCCGGTGTCTGCGGCTGGGCCTCCCCCTCGATGCCTGACGCAGGGACGGAGCCCTGTGCGGGCGGGCAGCTTGCTGACGGGGTCAGAGTTCATGTCCTGCGGGATGGCGGTTCTCGGAGCCTGAGCGCTCACCGAGGAGAACCAGAGCCTCAAGGAGGACCTGGACCGCGTGCTCAGCAGCTCGCCCACCGTCGCCCGGACCAAGGGTACCTCCCGCAGCCTCCCGGGCCCTCCCCCCACCGCGAGGCCCACAGGGCAGACACCGCCACGGGCAGACCATGCGGAATGTGCCGGAACTTAGTGAGCGCCTGCAGTGTGCCCAGCTCGGGCCTGGGGGCTGGAGACAGTAGTAAACGGAAGCAGGCAGACGCCCTCGTGGTGACATGGTGCAAGGGAGGGAGCAGCTGGCAGGTCGGTGTGGGGCAGGCAGATGAGGGCCAGGGGCAGGGCCTGCAGTGTCCTCACAGGGGCTGCTGGTGCCCTGGGCCGGGCTGTGCGCAGTGCAGAGAGGAGCAGATTTGGGGAGGGGGTCAGTGAGGTCAGGGTCTAGGCCTTGACAGACCGAGGCCTGGTGGCCATCAGGGGGCAGGTGGCCGGGCAACATCACAGCACCTGTGAGTGAGCAGAGAAGGGGCCAGGAGCGAGTGGTGGCCTGGAGCAGGTGCAGGGTGCGGGGGCGGGTCCAGAGGCTGCAGATGGGGACGGCTGTGGGGCTGGCACAGTGAGGACCATGGCCTTGAAGAGCCGTGCCCATAGACCAGTGGGCCAGAGCCTGACAGGGCAGACTCGGGACTGAGGGTCACCTGAGGCCAGGAGACGGGTACCGGGGACTCCACAGTGGGAGGGGCAGACCCCCCTGCGAAGAAGCTCTTTGGAGCAGGAACCCGCCCACCTCACGGGGGCCCAGGGTGGTGCCAGGCGAGGGGCGGGGTGGCTGCCGGCCATCGGGCCACTGAAGACGGTGGCTCACACTGTGCCTTTACAGGGTGCGTGGAGTGGAGCAAGCCCCGGCTGCTGCGGCGGATCGCGGAGCTGGAGCAGGTGAGGGCCTGGCA